AGATGCCTGAATTATAAAGTTGAAGGCTTTTGTAGTTTGTAGATCATACTAATTGGCCAAAGGATTTGCTTTAGATATCCATTAAATGGCAGCCTTGTTATACTGTGACTTAAATGCATTAAAAGAAAACAACTTTTCTTTTAGTTATACTTTTTCACCAACATCTAATCACATAAAGGCCTTGGTTCACTTTCCTCCCCCTCAAATACTATGGTTTAGTGCACAGAAAGTTTTCTTTTTAACTATTACACGATTAAGTATGTCCTTATAGAATGATCAGAAGCATCTGGGAAAGGTGGAAGTGAAAAAAACCCTCACAGGGAAAGTTAGCTTAATGCTTGCCCTTCAGAGTGGCCCATTATCAACATTTCATAGTGGGTTTCTTTATTTTCAGGTCCCTGAGGTATGCGCAATAAATTATGACTTGAACTAAACAAGTCACACTTGGCTCCAAAATGAAATTTTCCTACCTCTACTTTCTAGTCCCCAAGGTGGGAAGAGGAAATCCTGGTCACAGCCAAAGAAGTCATATTTTTGGCTCTAACATACATTTTCCTGCTTCTCTAAAAGCCAAATTCTGCAGTTGAGACTACAAGAGTCTTAAGTTAGTATTTTAAACTGTATTTTAACTTTTACTTCCATAATCTGTGTCTCAAATTTAAGAAAAAAACTTTTAGTATCATAAAATTAATGCCATTGCTCTTTTCCCCCACTCAAATCACTTTTCTAACTCGGACACTGATCTTAACCTTAAAATATGAATTCAAATGAAACAACAGAGAAAACCATGTAGAAATAGATTGTTTCACTTCCAAAAGCTAGAATATTTAAGGTTTTCAATATAAATAACTTCTACTTATTTCTGTATAATAGACTGAGTATTAACATCATCTCATTTTACAGAAAACAAGAATATGGCAATATTAAGTAATGTTTATATTTAGTCATTAATTAAATCAACATTTATTGAACACCTACTATATTCCAAGGCATTATTTTAATTATAGAGACATAAAGAAACTATCCTAATCCTTGACATACACCATCTAACATATTATAGAACATATTTATAAGCACTAAAATATAATGAAGGCAGTATAGTATATGCTTTACTAAGTATAAGTAATAAAGGACACTGGTAAAGAGGACTATGTAGGTAAATATAAAAGCCAGTATTATTATACTTTTAGTTTGTAATTATTTTTTCCCTACATAATTTAAAGGCAAATGTATAAAACAATAATTATAAATTATGTTAATGGACATACAATGTATAAAAATGCAATCCAGACAGTAACAATATAAAAAGGGAAGGACAGAGATTAAGGATGTTACTTGTAATCCCCAGGGTAACATTAAGAAAATAACTAACAACGTACACAAAAGAAAAGAAGGGGATCAAAATAGTACTTAATGAAAAAACAATACAAAAAAGTAATAATGAAGCAACTAAGGAACAAAAAGCACAGAAAACACACAGAAAACAGCTAAATAGTAGAACTAAGTTCCTCCTTATCAGTAACTACTTGGTAAATAGATTAAACTCTCCAACTATAAGGGAGAATTTGGCTGAATGAATTAAAAAAACATGCTCTAACTATATGGTGTGAACAAGAGACTCATTTCAGATATAAGGAAGATGGACCCTTATTTTATATCATACACCAAAATTTACTCAAAATGGAACCAAATATCTAAATCTAAGAGCTCAAACTATGAAACTCTTTGAAGAAAATGGGCAAATCTGCAAGGCCTGGATTTGGCAATAGTTTCCTAAATATGACACCAAAAGCATAGGCAAAAACAAAAAAAATAAAGTGGACTTCATTATCAAACTTTTTATTTCTTTTATATTTTAATTTATATTTATAAATTAAATTAATACATAAATTTAATATATTTATAAATTTGATTTTTTTTTATCCCAAATACTTTCAATAACTTATTGGATCATTTATGAATTTTAAGAAATCAGCCATAATAGTGCTCTGATTTATTTCAGGTATTTCAGGTATTGATGGCTATATTCTGGTCATTTCCAAATGATAAAAGGCCTTCCTGATTATTATAAAAGTTACATACCTATACTCTTAAAAGCTTATGAACATCAGTCTTTTGAATGGATGCCTTACAAATATCCTTTAGTTATGAAAAAGGCCAAAACTCCTTTTTAGAGTCTTGACTCTAAGCCCTTTGCCATGTGTGGCAGAAACCCACACCTCTCCTATTGCTCCTGACTTTGGGCTTAGGCACATGACATGCTTTGGCCAATAGGTTAGTAGATATGATATAAGTAGGTATCTGAAAAGTGCTTGCTCAATCAAGCCTGCCCTCTTATATCTCTGCCAAAGTATAAAATATGGTAACATGTTCTGGCTAGTCTGCTGGTATACAAAGGATGAGATACATGTAGAGCAGAGCTGACCCAGTTGGGCCAAACCTACTTTGGTGAAACCATAGCAAGGTGACTGAGCCCAGTAGAAATCGGCAGAGCTGCTCAGCCAAGCCCAGCTACTACTCCCCATCAATTGATGTGTGATTCCTAATAAATATTTTTACAACTGTTTGTTACACAGGAAGTGTTGACCTAGACATAATGTAACAAGAAATACACTTCCCTTACATCTGATATTGCCCATAAAGAATTTTCCTCCTTATCTATCCCTTGTCTCTGCAGTTTGGACTACTCTTGGGTCTACTCTACTTGCCCCTTTCATGAAACACTAGGGAAACTTCTTTAGAACCACCCTCCTCCTCTGCACCCAGATCTCATTGAAGCTTCTGTTGTTTTGCTATTTTATATAACTATAGCCATTGCAATCCAGATAAGCAGAACTGTGACAAGCAAGACCATTACTGAGGAATGTCAGAGAAGGTCATCAGCTGCCTTTTTTGTATGACAAAATGAGAAGGTGCCTGAGAGGAACTAATTCTGAGGAAAGAGAGCATTAAGAACTCAACACTAGTGCAATAACAATGCCCATAATCAGAGTTGCTGGGAGTGAGGGTAGAGAAAGTAGAAGGTAAATGTAATTTTTTTCTTCACAAGTAACATTTTATTTAAATTTAAATTTCTTCAAAGAATGACATAACAAATATCTTTATTCTCACATTTTCTTAAAATTTGTTTTCTACTAAAACAAATATTATAGAAAAAGTTAAAGTCCCATTTGATAACCACCCCCAATATCATTCCTTTCTCTTCTCAGGCATAATCACTAGTATGAGTTTTATGTGAATGAATCTTTTCAGGCCTTGCTATTTTGTGAGTATAATATTTAGTACAACATAGTATTAGCCAAGAAGTTATCTTACTCTGTGGTCCTCAAGGACTCATATATAGGTCCAAGAAAAAGAGAAGATATAAGCATAAATTGAAAGAGCTAGTTCTAGGGAAAAAAATATATATATTTAAGACACTGGGAGAATGTGTGGTACAAAGAGGGAAAAGGGATTCTCTCCACTCTAACAAAGGAGCATTAGTGCAATGATATAGGACCATGGTAAAATGATAAGACATCTAAGAGAGACAGTAATACTGCCAATAGCAGTATCAGCAGCAGCCCTCAGCTTCAGTGGAATGTGGCAACAAAAGCTGCTGATAGTGAACATAACAGTTTTCTTGAGTAGATATCAACTATTTCATCAGTCGCTGTAGTGAGAGGCAGTATTAACCATTTTAGAATAGGAGCGCTGGGTATGGTCATCAGCATTCTCAATGGGAGCCCTTAGTGGGCTGAAGAAAGGTAGTGGAAGCCACCAAAGTTAGTGCAGGCTGAAAGGATTAGATACCTCCTGAGGACTTTCAGAAATTTTTGAGAGATCTAGAGCTTAGGGAAGAGTAGGAGCTAACCAGAGAAATACTACTTATTACTGTTAATATTACATAATTCACATTATATAATATTACATAATACTAAAGTATTAACAATAAATAACTGCCTAGGGAAAGAATTCTTGCTTTGGTATGAGACCCTAACAGGTTGTATCCTAGGAGGAAGGATCTAACTAGTCAGCTAAATGGCCAGAAAACCTAAAGTCTTGGTCTCAGATTGCTGGCACCTTCAAATTCCAGTAGGAAGTAAAAGAAAATCCTTCCTGATGAAAAATAACATCACCTTAGGCTTCAAATTATTGCTACAGATAATTTTTCAAATATAATGTTTAGTAAATAATCAGTGATAATGAAGCAAAACTCCTGTTTTTGGCCAACATAGAATAACTAGTTTGGGAATATCTCTCCCACTGTAAGTAAATGTAAAACTGCACTAAGTGTGATAAAGCAACTACTTTCACAGAGTAGATATCAGGCAGCATAAAACCATAATCTCAGAGATAAGGGAAATCCATTAGATGAACTCCCTGATTCTCAGCTCTTTTCCTATGTATAATTTCCTGACAACTGTATCTAGAACACTGAAGTATGGTGGTCCCGCTGAGCTGAGGTGCAAGAGATCAGATTTTGGAGCAGCTAAAATCACTGAAATCAGCAGGGCAGGGTATGGTATTGAGAGAAAGGAAACAGAGAAAGAGCCCTAGAAGTCTAGAATTCTCTAGGGGACCTCTGTAAGTCTATGGCTAAGAGCTTGATAAAACACAAATTGCTGGGTTCCACCTCCATAGTTTCTGATTCAGTTGGTCTGGATGGAGCCTGTTAAATGTATATTTCTATCAAGTTCCCAGGTGATACTGATACTCCTGGTCTTGGATCACTTTGAAAATCACTCTTATTGAGCAAAAGACAATATAAGTTAAAAATAAAATAAATCGACGTCTACGAAATCTTTCTCATTCAGAGTCACCAAAGCATTAAAATATCTAAGGATACCAAAAAACAAACACACAAACTAACAAAAAAACATGATTAACTTTACATAATGATCAAGAACTTCAGCACCTGAAACTAATATTACACTGTACGTTAACTAACTGGAATTTAAATAAAAACTTAAAATCAACAACTTCTGTGATAAACAAAACTTAAGGCTTTGATGGCCTACCTGTAGATCTTTCACGTTTGGAAAAGGAATCCCTATTGTTATGACAGCACGGGCATTGTCATCTGAGAAATCCAGGCCCTCACTCACTTTACCACGACAAACTGCTACCAAGAGGGCTCCATCTTAAAAAATAAAAAATAAAGATTTTAAAAAGCACACCCAAAATTCCCTGAAACTGCTTATTGTTGTCATTTTGAAAAGATCTAATTAAGTAATCATAGCAAATTTAAAAGAATCAAAATAAAAAACTATGGCGAGATAAAGTTTTAAAACAGACAAAAAATTACATTTCTGTGGTACCAAACCAATTTACAAACTCTGTATCTCCCAGATAACTTAAAACACAGAAAAGCCACATCAGAGTATTATTAACTTACAGATGAACTAAGCAATTGTGCACCAACTGTTTTATCTTTAAAAAAGTGAAATTGCAATCACTACTTTTACCACCAGAATGTAAAGTTCTCAGAATGATTTAAACAATTCTAGTTTGTACTATATATCATATTGAATCAATATTATATTGGAAAATATTTAAAACATACAGAACACTCTGTGTATAATCTTATCATACTGACAATATTGACAATTATGTTATAGCATCTTTAAGACGGTACACTGTTCGTAAGTTACTATTAGCTCTTCCTGTCAAACTTTTGATGGACATTCTCTAAATTTGAAATTGAGATTTTAGCTGTGTTTTGAAAACTCAAATTTACCTTATGTAATAGAATGTAAGCATAAAGTACATTATTTGCATCAAAATGTAGGGTTCATCTGGCTAGTAAGGAAGATATTTGTGCATACTCCATCCACCCTCTTTCACAAAACATTTTAGGTAGTATAAGGAAGACTATACTAAACGTCTTCCTTACCTGAATATATGCTGTTTGTTAAAGTTGAACTGGCATCTCCAAATGAAAATATTCATAGAAGAACAGCTCCAAATAAAAGAATTTCTTCAACTTATTTTCTTTACATCCAGATTGTAAAGTATAATTTTTCTCTCAAGTGCAATTCATTTAAAAAGATAACATAAACAAAATTCTGACAGCACCAATTTCTTACTTTATGATAAAAATTTTTTGATTGACCATCAAATAACTTCCATTTACCTTTCTCTCCTTTGTACTTGATTGCATCATAGTACACCTGCAGTAATTCATCAAAATCAGTTTTTTCTCCTCCCTGAGGTTCTACGATGACTGTCTTCACCAACTCTAGATTATGCCATAAACCAGTGTAGAGCCAACGTTCTTTTAACTTTTCTAATAACTGAAAAGGAGAAAGAAAAAAATGTTATGTGTCCAAACGAACCAAACTTACTTTGGTTTGTTGACAGAGAATGTGACGACAATGTGACTATGGCAAGCAAATTAACCTTTCTGCATTTTACTTTTCTCATCTATAAAATGAGAAAAACAAGATTGCTTCTCGGCCTTTTGGCTAAGATCAAGTGGAGAAAAACAAGAATATGTCACAGAGTCGTTACTGGGTTAAATTCATTAACCGATTTAGATAGCTCTGCATGATGCCTGGCAGATAGTAAGAGCTCCATAAAAGCGAACCGCCGCTGCTGCTGTTAGCGTTTCCAGTACTGCTAACACTACGGCTGCCACTGGGGCTGCTATGACTCCTGTGATCACTATCTTGGGGTTTCAAAAGCAGAAAAAAGTGACTTCTGTCAAAGTTGATAAATTTTAAGTTGTCTCCTTAAACCTAAAGTGAAATTCCTTAATATCCTCACCTAAAGATTCTTTACGTTTTTGTTTTTTTTTTTTAAGTAGGCTCCATGCCCAGAGTGGAGCCCCATGCAGGGCTTGAACTCACAACCCTGAGATCAAGACCTGAGCTGAGATCAAGAGTCAGACACTTAACTGACTGAGCCACCCGGGCGCCCCAACTAAAGATTCTTTATCGAAGATTCTTTAAGATCATTTTACCCAGTCTATAGGCAGCTAAGCCATTTAAAAATTTGATCATCACTGATAAAACTGAGTCAAATACATATATAAACAGAGACTCAGGTAGCTAACAAGTAGAAAATACAGAAGCACAAGAGAACATTTACAAAAATAACCATGTGCTGGATTATAAAAGGATTTTCAACAAATTTCAAAGAATATCAGATTAACCACATATCCTAACAACAACGTAACTTTAGATTAAAAAATAATACAAAGTTAGTGGGGTAAAAAAAAAACCAGCAAACAAACTCCACACTGGAGATTATATTCTTAAAGAACACGTGGGTTTCATGTCAATTACATCTCAATAAAACTAGAAAAAACAAAGAACATATAGCTAAAAGAGAAAAAACACAGTAGAATTCATGAAATCTTTAGATATGAATGGTAAGAAAAGCACCCACAATGCAAAGTAGGGGATTCATTAAAGGCAACAAATAGATACTTACAGTTTAAGATATATTTATTTTAAAAACATGAAATTGAATGAAGCATTTTTTAAGAAGCTAGAAAATCAAATAGTAAATGAAAAGAAAGAAGTTAACAATTAACGTAAGAACTGAAATAAAAGGACAAAAGCCAGTACTAGAGATTATTATGATTTAAATTGACCTGTTTTACCCACTTGTTCCATGCAGAGTTCTGTGCAATGTGGACCAGTTATTATAATGTAGGCAAGCAACATGACGTTACCCCAAATTCTCTAGAGAACAGAAACTAATTTTTGTAAGATGGTTTATTTCCTCGGAATTTCAACCTTATCTGATTTTTTTATAAAGATTTTATTTATTTGAAAGAGAGAATGCACACACAAGGGCGGGGGAAAGGCAGAAGAGAGAGGGAAAGGAGACTCCCTGCTGAGCTCAGAGCTGGACAGGGGCTGATCCCAGGACCCTGAGACCGTGACCTGAGCAGAAATCAAGAGTCCCACACTTAACCAACTGAGCCACCCAGGCGCCCCATCTGACCCTTACCTTTTTTAGAAATAAACTTAATTAAGATCATAAGATAAAATTTTTATCACAGCTATGGTGTAAATGTTTGTGCTCCCTCAAAACTCATATGTTGAACTCCTAATCCCCAAAGATGATGGTATTATGAAATGGGCCCTTTGGGAGGTGATTCGGTCATGAGCATGGAGCTTTCATGAATGAGTGCTCTTATAAAAGGGGTCCCACAGAGCCACCTTGCTCCTTCCACCATATGAGACACAGCCAGAAGATCCTGCCTACTAACCAGGAAGAGGGCTGTCATCCAACCTAATCTTGGGACTTCCAGCCTCCAGCACTGTGAGAAACAAATCTTTGTTGTTTATAAACTACAAAGTCTGTGGTATTTTGTTACAGCAGCTGGAACAGATTAAGAAAATGACTAATTGGTAAAATACCTCATTGTGTATTATACAGTGATCAAGGTACCCTGATCAATAAAAAGAAAAATTCTCTGTAACACCATGTTATTAGGTTAAAAAGAAAAAAAGTAGGGCCATCATTAACCTAAAGTCTTTTTCACTTTGAGTGCCTCAAGGGTTCGCTATTAAAATTTGCTTTTTGAAAAACAGTCTCTCATCAGTGCTAGAAGTATGAAAACCTTCTAACAAGTATTCAGAGATAAGATAGGACTATTATAAAGTTGACAATGTTCAGAATAGTATATTAATCTCTTTAAATTTTTCTACTGAATAAGCAGTTTAGAAGAAGATAAAAATATCCTAAGGATGTAAAACCAGGTAAAATGTGTCATGAATTTGCACAATTGCTGATACTTAATGCAATTTAATCCAATGATATACTGTTTTCTGTCATCTGAAAACAGCATTTCATCTTTGTTTCCTTGATCTTGAAATATCAACTGCCAGTACAATATGTTTTTAATATTTAAAATCTTGGGGCACCTGGGTGGCTCAGTTGGTTAAGCGACTGCTTTCGGCTCAGGTCATGATCCTGGAGTCCCGGGATCAAGTCCCGCATCGGGCTCCCTGCTCAGTGGGGAGCCTGCTTCTCTCTCTGACCCTCCCCCCCCATGCTCTCTCTCATTCTCTCTCAAATAAATAAATGAAATCTTTAAAAAAAAAATCTGGACGGATACCTTTCACTTTACTTGAGGAAGATCATTGAGTTGGTCATTCCAAAATATATTCCATAAAATCTATTTAAGAAGGCAGGTTTGAGAAATAACAAAGAAATTGGTTCAACATACACTTACCCTCAAAGAAATTCTCATTATATAGAAAAGAATTCAGTCAGTCTATCTAGTGATGTTTTAGATTCTAAGAACTTCAAAAACTTATGGACAATGAAAATAGCCACAGATTTGTAAATAAATCATGACTATTACAATTAAAAAGTAGGATATGCATTATACCAATCACTTCAGGCAACTCTTATGGCAAATACAAAACAAACTGTTATATATTAATAGGTCTTTAAAAAATTATCTGCAACAACCCAAAAAAAAAGAAATGAGCCAAGATCAATAATTATTGTGATTAGAATCACAATAAACCCTAATGAATTCAAATGTACTAATTTATGTCTATTTGTACTCAATAAGTGTATGATCTTTACTGAATAAAAAAGATTAAAACAAAAAAATAGAAATTAAAAAAAATAATCTGCAAAATAAGGCTGTTAAAGTTTGGTGATATATCTGAAGGAACTTTAAGCTCTAAAACTCTTTAATTCTATTAAATTTTTAAAACTGAATTGTTGGGATGCTTGGGTGGCTCGGTTAAGTGGTTGCCTTTGGCTCAGGTCATGATTCCAGGGTCTTGGGATGGAGTCCTGCTTTGGGCTCCTTGCTCAGAGGGGAGCCTGCTTCTCCCTCTGCCTCTGCTTCCCCTGCTTGTGCTCTCTCTCTGACAAACAGACAAGTAAAATCTTAAAAAAAAAAAAAAAACTGAATGGCTAGTATATAATATTTACATATAAGATTATAATTCAGAGAACAGGAGAGAACAAAAAGGAGAAAGGTGGGACACTAAAAGACAGGCTATTTTTTTCTAGGTTTGCATTAGAGCTGAAAAACTTCATTGTTAATGCAAATTTTATAACTAGAACAACATTTTTTCCCTAAATAGAAACCATTGAAATTTGCTTTAATTGAAAAGGAAGAATTATTTTAATTATCCAATCATAGCTAAGAAGTTATTGAACTATTTTTTCCAGAAAAATTTTTGCACTTTGACACCTATCAGCCTTTCCAAATTGCCATACCATACCATTCATTCATTTATAAGTAGGCTCCATGCCCAACATTCATTCATTCATTCATTTATTGGCTCCATGCCAGTGTGGAGCCCAACGTGGGGCTTGAACTCATTGACCTGAGAACAAGACCTGAACTGAAATCAAGTTGGTTGCTTAACAACTGAGCCACCCAGGTACTGAGGCAAATAAGAGACAAATAATTGATCATAACTAGGAGAGCTCTTAGTCAGAAATTAGAAAAAAAGGAAAAAATTTGCTCTTCAGTTTTATCTATTTTTAATAAGTGTTGGTAAGAATACAGAGAATTGGAACTCTCATACACTGCAGTGAAAATATAAAATGGTGCAGGTGCTTTGGAAAGAAGTCAGACAGTTCTTTAAAAGGTTAAACACAGAGCTACCATTTGACCCAGCAATTACACTCATAATACCCAAGAAAAATGAAAACATGCCTATACAAAAACTTGTACATAAATGTTCATAGCAGCCTTATTCATAATATCCCTAAGTAGAAACAACCCAAATATCTTTCAATTGATTGATAGATAAGTAAAACATGGTATATTCGTGCAGTGGAATATTATTTGGTCATAAAAATCAAGTACTGATACATGCTATAACATGGATGAACCCAAAAACAATATACAGTTGACCCTTGAGCAACACAGGTTTTAACTGTGTGGGTCCACTTATAAACAGACTTTTTTCAATACAGTACAGTACCATGTATGTATTTTCTCCTTATAATTTTCTCTAGCTTATTGTTAAGAATGCAGTATATAATACATATAACATACAAAATACATGTTAATCAACTGTTTATGTTATCAATAAGGCTTCTGGTCAACAGTAGGCTATTAGTAGTTAAGTTTTGGGGGAGCCAAAAGTTACACACACACAGACTTTTGACTGCATAGGGGATTAGTGCATTTTTTAAGGGTCAACTATACCAAGTAAAAGAAGTCGGACACAAAAGACCACATATTGCATAATTCCATTTATATGTAAGTTCCAGATTAGGCTAATGCATAGAGACATAAAGTAAACTAGAAGTTGCCTAGGGCTGGGAAAGGGAGAAAGTAGGGGAATGATGGGGAGTG